AGAGGAAGAAGAGGATAGACACACATGTCCATGTGGCAAATCGGAGGAGAGTAGAACCCACATAGTTGGGGAGTGTGAGTTGTACAGGAAGGAAAGAGAGGATCTCGAGGAGGAAATGAGACAGAGAGGGTGTGACATGGACAAGTTTGGTAAATTAGACAACAGCGAAAAAAACGATCGCGATAATTGGGGATAGATGGTGGGCACAAGAGGCCCTAGAGGACGGGGATAAGATGTGCAAGAAAATTTTTATGTAGTTTGTGGCAGAAACGCAAAGAGCTCCCAAATGTTGGTGGTGTCTCTAGTAGGTGTAGGAACGGTGCTTCGTCTCGAAAGGGACGCGTGGTCAATGCTCAAATGACTAAGGCAAGCAACAAATGAGTACGCCCCCCCCGGCATGCTTTTTCAGGGAGCTCGGGTTGCGTCCTGTTGGACGACGATTCGGCGGGACCAAGACGCGTGGGGTCCTTCTCCAACCTGCCGCTCAACCTACTCTCAAGCCACGGCGGGAGCGTGACGTCGAGCCTGCACAGCCTCCCCACCTTGCCATGGTTGGACGGCCTTGGGGCGGCGGGAGGGGTTAACGGGCAGCGGCCGAGCTACACGTCCTCCGATGTGCGCTTTTTTTTTTGTTTTTATTTTCTGAAAAAAAAAATTGTGATACGGTATGCTACTATTATGTAGACGTACTTGTATCTTTCCTTTTCGCTTCGCCCTCGTGGTTTGAATTATGCACTGTGTGGGTTCGCGATGCATTAGTATATGGATATGGCCGCTGGGGAGCGTTTGCCTTGTCTTCGCGAGATTCATTACCGCTAGTTTTTACAACCCAACCTGTTAATGTCTCTGCTGACCCTCGAGCAATACACAGAGTGATGCCCCCCCCTCTTCGAGTATCAGCCTCAACTAGGCAGTTTCCTTACCAATGCATTTTTTTTGTTCTGTCGCGACCGACCGGGGCCCGTGCCCAACGGATAACGGACGGCCCTTTCGCTTGCAACACCACGTTTATTTTTGTTTTCCTGCTGCAGGCGAGGAGAGGGAGCACCCAGAGCGACCTCCCGGATATCCTGGAAGACAACGAGTTCCACGAGCAAGGTCCACACCAAGAGCCTTTCCCTGCCGGCGGCAACAACAGCAAGAACAACCTCTACCACAAGAATAACCACGGGGGCGTCCATAGCGGTAGCAACGGTATCAGCAGCGGCGCCGGCGTAAGCGGCGCCGGCAGCAACGGCAACAGATACGCCCCGCAACGATCGAGGCAACAACCACAACCACCATTACCACCACAACAACAACAGCAACAACAGCAACAACAGCAACAAGAACAACAACAGCAACAACAGCAACAACAGCAACAACAGCAACAACAGCAACAACAGCAACAAGAACAAGATGCACACGAACCACAGCAACGGCCGGACAGCCCAGATCATCTGGCGGCAGCGGCGACGGCAGCGGAGGCGGCGGCGAGCAACCGGCGAACACAAGCGATCGGAAACGGCGGAGGAGGCAGCGGCAGCGGTAGTAGCACCTCCACCACCAGCAACGGCAGCAGCACCTGCGAGACGACCAGAAAGACAAACCGCGTCAGCAACGGCGGCGGCGGTGGCGGCGGGATCAAGCCCAGGGGCGCCCTGCCCGGCCCAGGCCCGTCGCGAGCACTCCACGGGGGAGAATATGGGACCGGCGCGGCCGCGGCGGGAGGAGGAGGAAATGGAACAGTAGGGACGGGGAGCGGTGGGGGTGCTCCCGCAGACGGCGGAGCCAGCGCAAGCGCCGTCAGCGGAACGTCGGCGGCGGCGATGGTTGCGGCGGCCAGACAGGGGCGAAGAACCAGCTTTGACCCCGCGGTGTTAAGAAAAGATGAAGCGCGAGGGGGGAGGTGGGGGGGTGACAGGCTGGGGGGGACGGCGGCGGGGAGGGGGGGATCCAATCCGCGGGCGGAGAGGCGGTTGACTTTTGGGGGTACTTCCACGAGCTCGGACGCTCCAGGTACGCAGTACCTACAAGATGAGGGCGGGTAGTGAATCTTTGATTGCATGTATGTTTTCGAACGAGATGCGAGGCTCCAGCGGTTCTAGAGCAGCAGCAGCAGCAGTAGCGAAAGCGGCGGTAATGAGCGCTACAGTTGTCGCTGGGCCGATTCACCCGCTCTATAGCGGGCACCCGCCCTGTTCAAAAACATGGCGCAAAGACTTGGTTATTACTTGCGTGCGAAAATATTTCACCCGATCTAGATCACCCGCCCTATAGAGGGCCCACGACTGCACCTGCTTCCCATTTCGCACAAACGAGAGCTGGCTTTCGAAACATGGCGTCGTCGCGGCGTCTCTCGAGCGACGCCCAGACAACTTCTCCCACGTTGGGCATACTCTTATTGTATGTACTCTCGGGTTTTGCGTACTGTTCGACGGACTTCATCGAGGGGTTTCAATTTTCGATCGATCACAACTACCGTAGTAGTCGGAGAGTTGGCACCGGGTGCGATCGTTTTTTTTAAATGTTTTTACCTCGTTTTTTTTTTCGCACCCCGGTGCCATCTCTCCGACCCCCGTGCGGAAGTGCAATTAAATCGTTTCGTTTAGAATTTTCAAGGCACCCCGGTGCGATCTCTCCGACCGGTGCGATCCCCGATGAAATACACACAAGTACAGGTGTTGTATGCACGCACCCCGCTGCCATCACCAGTGTAGGTACCCACGCACGCACACGGTCTTCTGCACACATACGCATATCTGCGCCGGAAACAAGGCAGCGAAATACACATACGTACCAGATACGTACCCCGAAAAAAGCGGCGAAATAACGCAAACAAAAATATCTAGACGATACCAGTCAGTGCGAGCGCACACACACAGCCATTGATTGTGCCATGTCAGAGGATGCAGGTACTGCTTCCTCACCGACCAGTGGCAGTACTGTTGGTGCTGGTGCTGGTGCTGCTGATGCTGCTGCAGCAGCTCCTTCAGCTTCGCAGCAGTACAATAGTTTCGGGTTGTGTAAGGTTGGGTAGGGTGCGGCATGTACGTTGTGTGTTTGGTTGAGTATACGGTTGGCAACTTCCATACAAATTAATAAATGAAAACAACTGGCATCCCGCGTGAACCGCGACCATCCAATCGTACGTAAAGGAGTGGCGCTCCGCTGACACCGTCCCCACGTGTAAAAGGTACACGCACATGTACCTCATTCCGGCAGCTGAAAAGGAGCTCAATCTTGGATTTGGGGGGTCGGAGAGATCGCACCCGGTGCGATCTCACCGACCCCGGTGCGTAAATCGAATTCCATGTTTTTTTATCGATTTTTTTATCGCACCCCGGTGCCATCTCCCCGACCGGTGCCATCTCTCCGGCCGGTGCCAACTCTCCGACTATTACTGTAACTCAAGTGTACTGCAGCGAGCGCGGGATGGATGTACTCACGAGATTGCCGGCCGTGGGTCGCGTATGGTACCACATCCCCCTGGAGAGACCGTTTTCCAGAAGATCGATTACTCAGCAGCGTGACAAGGTCGACGTTGGTCCCGTCTCGTCGAGGGTGTTGCGACAACCTATTAATTGATTTTGGCATCCTCTTCGTCGTGGGAGTGATCGAACTTTAACAATCGGGCCAGGGGTGGGTGGATGTCTCTCGCAGCCTGCACGCACGGTACAAGCCTCCGGTACATGGTGTAGGAAGGATTGTCTGCAGAGTTGTGTTTTGCGTTGTGTTGTGCGAGAATTTTAGGACGGAGGTTTGTGCTGCTTGCTTGGTCCGCGTGCTGCTGCAACACGGTTCGATACTATCGCCGCGGAATGTTTCGGCTGACAGGTTCCTCTCTCCCTTCCCTCCCCCGTCATGCGCACGCACGTAACCGTGTGGCTTTTGTCCTTCCCTACGATAACTGGGTCAACGCACGGCGACCCTTGGGGGGCATGGCGTCAACGCGTGGCGATCGATGGAAACAACAATACCCACGACTCCAACGACGACTGAATCCCTACGATTGCGACACCGCTACCGACGACAACGACGTACGCGACGGCACTCGCAACGGGAGCAGCAAGGGCACCGTTGAGACAGTAGCTGACGACTTGAAGAGCCTCTAGTCTGTTGTAGCGTCACAACGGCATAATAGTAAGGGCCGCCAGGCAAGGAAGTCAGTCCACACGGAATGGTTGTGCCGCGAGGCCCATTTATCGCCAAGTGCCGGCTGCTATTTTCTTGTGTTTCCGTTGGCTTCTGTTGGAATTTCCAAAGCAATGGGGAGTGGGGGGGCGGGAGGGGTGTAAAGGCCTAGGGTCATCGCCACGACCCCCCAAACAGCTTGTTGCAAGCGAATCCCTGGACTTGATCCGTTGCCGACAACCAGTACGTCGTTCCCCACGTAGGGAACGTTGTGGCGTTTTCCCCTCCTTGTATTTCTTCCGTAGATTACTGTTCTTTTTCCCAAAGAATGCGGCGCGCTCCTTTGTCGGACAAACATTCTGCCGGGCCCAATAAATTGCCCTCAGGCCTTTTTTTTTTTTTGGCGAGTGCGGGTGTTGTTGGGATGACGGCAGGTGGGAAAGAGGAGGGTGTACCACTCTGTCTCTGTTTGCAAAAATAGGGACCGATGCTTGACCGATGTGATACTTGTCGTTTTTTTTCCGAATGGTCGCTATATTTCCAAACAGAGTGAGTGGTAAAAAGTGTCAAGAGTCAGCTGCTCGCCCACCCACTCGCCTACATTCCTCGCTGCGGTTTGAGAGTGGGTTTTGGTCTGTTTCGAGAAGGACCTTCGAGACGGGACCCTTTTGGACGAGTCTCATCGGGGGAACCGTTCTCCGATGCTCTCTTGTGTTACGAAAAGAAACGGCTTCGGCCGGTGGGTTGAGCGCTCCAGTCGACACCTTTTCCCGATTGGTCCTTCCTCAGTTCCGTTTTGCGCCGTGGTCGACGTCTTCGTCTGTGTCATTGCATGTATGAACTAGTGTTTCGAGAGCAGCCAAACAAGAGGTGTGCTCGCAAAAGTGCAGCGACGGAGACCCCCGCGCGCCTTGGCCATTATCCATAGCCTTTTCGTGGGGAACGCGGTTAGTTTTTCGGCGGGGGTAACGTCGGGGATTGAAACTCGGCGGGTGAGTCCCACCGCCACGAGTGACTTTAGTGCAGAGAATGGGACTTGTTTCTGTGCGTGTGTTTTGTATCGACCGTGTTGTCCCCCCCCCCGGTCGTAGCCCTTCATTTCCCACGCGAAAAGAAGTTGAACTTGAAGGGGGGGGGGGGGGGGGGGGGGGGGGGGTATACACGCGCCGGGGGCAGGGGCGG